CCTCCTGGAGTTCTTGTGACTTCTCCCTATCTTTGAGATACTAGTCCAGTGTTTCCTCTCCACTACATCACCACATCTTGCCAGTCTTTACCTTTCCTTTCCCGTAAAAATGCATGCTTAAAGTGCTCCCATCTTAAACATAAACCAACAAAACCAAAAGAATTTAACTTCTCTACACCATACTTTTAGTTTGACCCTGTTTTTCCTTAAACAGCTGTGATCCTTGAAAGAACAGTCTGCAGTCCTTGCCTTCCCTTGTTTATTATTTTATAATTTCCAAACCTGAATCAGGCTTTCATTCCCATCATTCCACTGAATCCACTGAATGCATACCATAAAAGTCCCTGGTTCTAGGGGCTGGAGAAATGACTCAGCAGTTAAGTACAATGGCTGTCCTTGAAGAGGACCCAGGTTCAAGTCCCAGCACCCACATGGGAGCTCACAACCATCCATAACTCCAATTCCAGAGGACCTAACACCCTCTTCTGGCCTCCGTGGACATCAAGCATGCATGTGGTACATACACATGCATGCAGGCACTCACATATCCACATAAAAATACCCCAATCTCTTTTAAGTCCCTGGTTCTTTGGTTGCCAAATGTAGGGAGAAGAGGAGGGGGTTCCCAGGCCTGGTTTTATTTGATCTTTCTAGGATATTTACTGCCAGTCCCTTCCTTTTTTATGAAACTCTTGGTTTCTGAGATGTTGCCCTCCTGATCTTCCTTGTACTTACCCATTCTTTTATCTTATGTTTGACCTTCCTCTGTCCCTTTTAAAGCTGATGCTCTCTAACTCTTGTCTCCCTTTCAGTGGTGTTACCCATCAGGGTGATTTAAATTATGTATGCCAGATGATTTAGAATTCTCAGTCTTCTATCTATATTCTTTTGAACCCAAGACTCACTATCATAATCGTATGACAGTCTTACAAAAATAGCAATGCCCACAGTTTTAGGTGAGGAAACTGAGCCTGAGAGAAATAACCTGTTTGAACTCTAGTGGTCAGTGAAAGAGCTAAGATTTAAACATCCATCTGAAAACGAAGCCATGACTGTATCATGCTGCTCATTAAATATTTCCACCCAGCTGTCTGACAAGTATATCAAATATATTATAGTTAATATCACATGCTGAATGCCTTATCTGAATCTGATTCTCATTCTTTCCTTTCCAGAGGGATGCAAGAAGGGAGGGGAGGAGGGGCAGAGAGGGGAGAGAGACAAAAAGGAATACAGAGAGACAAACTATGCAGACCTGTATTCTCATCTCAGTGTATGGTTTTCCTTCTTTCAGTTATCCCAGCCAGAATGAATTATAGAGCTTGACATGGGTTTCCATCTGTGTCTTCATCCTACTGGTCCTTCTAGTCCAAGGAAGCATCGTTCTGGGCTTTCTCGCTCTGTCATGCGATTTACAGTTGGTTCTCCCTCTTCTCTTCCTTGCTGCTATCATAGTCCAGAACTTGACCTTCACCTATATTGCCTTTATCCAGATCCATTTCTTTCAAATTTTCTGACCTGAAGAACCAGGGTTTATTGTTTTGGGGGTTTTGTTTTGTATTTGTTTATTAAAACCTTCAATTTCTTACAGAAATTGTGTATCATATAAAAATCATTAGAAAAATGAAAACAAGACATGCAAAAATAAGCTTCATTTTAAACAATGTTGAATTCAACAGACAAATTATTTTGTCAGATTGCAATAAAAGTTTTAGAAGCTAATGTTCTGTGATGATTCTGTCTCAGAAATAGGGAGTACGCAGTTTTCAGATTGGCTCTGACCCACAGACATCAAGGAATCTAGATCACAATAGCTAAGGAAGAAAAATAGCTTCAGTTTTCTTAGATTGTAACCACGTGGATATATGTCATTTAGAAGTGAAAACTTTCAAGTAGGAGTTTGTTGATTATATAGATAGCATCTATATGTGAATTTAAGAGGTGTCAGAAAATACTCGTGCTTCTTTACAGTTTTTTAGAAGGAATAAATCTTGTTACAGTATGGAGTAACCATGAGTTACATTACAAATTATGCTAAAAATTAAAATACACTGACTTAAGATTTAAGCTAACATTAAAAAAAATAGGCTTGAAGTACAGTCTTTTGAGCTACTTCAAAATAAAAGTTTACCCTGGTTTGCTATATTTAAGTGGAGATGATTATATACGTTAAAACTGTGTGCTTCTATAAACACTAAAATACAGCAGTTTAGTTTGCTCCATTTCTGAAAGAGTAAAGTTCTACATAAGTATTCATCTGATGGGTATTAAATAATAAAAGTAGGCTATCTGGGTCCAGTGGGTATTAAATAATAAAAGTAGGTTATCTGGGTCCTGCCAGAATACTGACCTGACTGATCAATTCTCTGATTTGATACTAATGAAGTACAGACAGGAAATGGTGAATGTTCAGCTGTTGACTATCCCTTGGCTTTAAACAGGGCATGGCTGAACAATCAAACTCAGAAACCAAGTTCTAACCAGGCATCGTGGTGCACACCTTTAATCCCAGCACTTCGGAGGCAGAGGCAAGCAGATTTCTGTAATTTCAAGGCCAGCCTGGTCTACCTAGTGAGTTCAGGACAGCTGGGGCTACAGGGAGACCCAGTCTCAAAATAAAAGAAATAAAGAAACCAAGTTCTAAAGGGATAGAGTTGAGGGATTAGAATGCTCCAATATTAAGTTGGCTCTCTGTCCAGAGTTAGTTAGAAATTTACTGAGGAAAGCCATTGTGACTAGAGCCCATAGTTGTCTGCTGAGAAGAAAACACAGGGTCAGATGCCTAACAAACCATCACAAGGCAATGGGGCACTACTGGATGCTTAGAAAATTAAATTCTTAGAATAGGATATTATAATCTCTCTTTTGTACACAGACTGTTCATAGGAGATGGGTAGATAACCGCTTGCTAAATCCACACCTAAAAAAGAAATGGACAAAAGTACAAAAGGTTACTCTTAAAGGAAAATTTAGTAGAAAAAACGGATGACTTTTCTTGATTTACATTGTAGTAAGTTATTATGCAATAATAGATATTTACCAGGTGAACTGAGGTAGAAAAGGAAGTGAAGACATCTAGGTACAAGGAACTGAGGGAAAAAGGCCTGTGGGGAGAGAATGCATATATAGCAGCCTGGCTTGTTCTCAGAGATGTGAAACAGTTTGTATGGCCTGAGAACACCCAGGACTAGTGTGCTTGGTGCTAGAAGGTTCTGTTTAATGCTTCTGAAACTTACAAGCCACATAAATTGCTGGAGGAGTTGTTGAAACTCATATACCAATGGGAAGGAATCTGCTTTTGTAAAAAGAAGCTCCAGTGCAATGGGAGTCTGTTGGTCTTCATGTTTCACTTTGAGTACCACAACTCAACTTTATCCTAATATTTATCAGTGCTTTTATTCCATGGATTATGAGTTACCACTGTTTAATTACTATTTACTGAGCACTATATTTCTTTTTTATTTCTTCTTCTTTTTTGGTCTTTTTGAGACAGGGTCTCCCTATAGCCCCACCTGACCTGGAACTCACTATGTAGAGCAGGCTGGCCTTGAACTCACAGAGATCCACCTGCCTCTGCCTCCTGAGTGCTGGATTAAAGGCATGTGCCACCACACTTGGCTGAGCACTACATTTCTATGAAACTGGAAATTAAGTAGTTAATAGAAGTTTTGCTGTGCTAATGGTAAAATAAAACTTTCAGTGATTTAATTGGCATTGGCCAAATGTTTAAAGGTTCTCATCTTTCATTAAATTAATGTGAGCAGGGAGATACAATAAAGTAGGGAAAAGATTAAAATTTGAAATTAATTTTTTCAAAATGTGGGCTCAAGTAGCAATCATATAACCGAATTTCTGTATGGCTATGAAAACAAATTAACCCATTTCTGTTTGTCTGTTTTTTCATACCTGAAATTGAATTTTGCCACTTTATAGAATTGTTGAGCATTAGAAATGATACTGTAAAGTGCCTTGTAGTATGGTTTCAATTTGGTAACTCTTGAGATCCCTTAAAAGGTTAAAAAAAAAAGATTTTTAAATACAGTGTCGAATGAGCTAAGAGGTATTGATAGATATGTAGGATTATAAGCCTCTCTGTTTCTTTGAGACCTTTTACCTCAGTGATTCTTGGTAGACTGGAGTAGTGATTCTTGGTAGTTTGGAAAAGCTCCCACCACTTCCCCAAGGTCCGTTGAGGCTCACTATGTACAGTTTAGATTTTACAGATGGGAATATGTTATACTTGTGGCTATTATGAAAGGGTAAAAAATATTTTGAATTGTAGTTTTGTCTACATTTTAGAGATTTTTTTGTTTTATGTTACTATCTTCTGCTTACCAGATTTTAAAAATATAATTTGCTGTGTTTGTTGTGGGTCAAAACCACCCCTCTCCTGGGGAAAATGTTGGCCCATCTGGTTGTTTTCACCACCATTTAAGCCCAGCAGCAGGCAGACTAGTGGTATGCCCTAGGGAGAATGAGACTCGGGAAGGGACACACAAAAGCCTCACAACCTGGTTTGAAGTATTTTGGCCAGAGGACTTTAAATGCCTAACCCCAGTTTCCCAATCCCAGAAGAAAGATATGGAATAAGGTTCTTTGATCCTACTCACTCCTTGCCTTGTGGGGATAGACACAACCAGAGGGAGGCCAGAGCAGGGGCGTAGGGTATTGGGTAGTACTGTTTTAAGGAAATTCCTGTGAAATTTCAGCTCTCTTTAATATTAGCCTATTTGTTCAGGTTTTTTTGGGTTTTTTTTTGTTTGTTTTGTTTTCATTTCCTCGCTCTGGTATGCTGTTATATATGCTTGGGTTTTTAGTGAACAAATCAAGAATACCTTAATCTTCTTTTTTATTTCAAATAGCTTTGCAATGGAAATAAATCTTAGTGATTAAAAGAATCTCAAGTGATTAAAAATAGATTATTTTGATATAGCTAAGAAATATTGTATTAGGAACGTTCCACCCTAACTCTCTCTTGTCTTTATATCTTAATTTTTTAGATCGACTTCAACTCCCAAGGAATATGATTGAAAACAGCATGTTTGAAGAGGAACCAGATGTGGTAGATTTAGCCAAAGAACCTTCTTTACATCCTCTGGAACCTGATGAGGTAGAATATGAGCCCAGAGGTTCGAGACTGCTGGTGCGAGGTCTTGGTGAGCATGAGATGGATGAGGACGAAGAGGATTATGAGTCATCTGCGAAGCTGCTGGGCATGTCATTCATGAACAGAAGCTCAGGCCTTCGGAACAGTGCTGCTGGCTACAGGCAGAGTCCTGAGGGGGTTTGTTCAGTACCCTCTGCAAGGACCTTAGTAGTCTGTGTTTTTGTCATTGTGGTTGCTGTCTCTGTAATCATGGTGATTTATTTACTGCCTAGATGTACCTTTACCAAAGAAGGCTGCCACAAAAAAAACCAATCAACAGCGCTAATTCAGCCAGTTGCAACAAATGGGAAATTGTTTCCATGGGCACAAATTAGGCTTCCCACTGCCATTATGCCTCAGCTCTATGAACTTAAACTACGTCCAAACCTAACCTCAATGACATTCAGGGGTTCTGTGAAAATTTCACTTCAGGCTCTTCAGGCCACATGGAATATTGTCCTTCATAGCACAGGTCATAATATCTCAAGAGTGACTTTTATGTCAGCAATTTCAAGCCAAGAAAAAACAGTTGAAATCCTGGAATATCCATATCATGAACAAATCGCCATTGTTGCCCCTGAAGCCCTTCTACCAGGGCACAATTACACCTTGAAGATAGAGTATTCAGCAAATATATCTAATTCTTATTATGGGTTTTATGGCATCACCTATACAGATAAAAGTAATGAGAAAAAGTATGTAAACCTCTTGAATGGTTCTTGTTCTATGTTCTTCTGATGTAACTTCTATAACTTCTGCAATATTCCTTTGCCCACACCAGAGATATTTTGTACATAAATTTTTAAAATTTAGGTGTGCAATAGAATGGTAACATTGGAAGAATATGCTCTTAGGCAGAACTTGTAGCATATGTTAGAGTGGAGTAAGAGTAGGTATCTTGCCGATGGGCAAAAAAAAAATTGCATTCTCCATCACAAAAAACTACCTTGAGTTTTTCATATTTTATGAGACAAATGTAATTTATATCCCTTTATAAAGTTTCTGTATGAGATGTAGAGTGTTGAGTGGTATGGGTTATTCCTTAAGACCTGTTTTTCCCACTGACACACAGAACTTTTAGGAGGTACTGCAATGGAGAAAAAAAGTGTGAAATGTGGTATGCATACACGGTCTGACTGGATTTCTGATGTAAATTTTACAGTCATAGGGAAAAAAATCCATCTCGAAGAAGAAAACAGTGAGACACAATATAAAAATATTCAACAGCCTATTTCAATCACATATTTTGTTGTTTAATCTTCATATTCATGTCATGTAGCTGGATTTTGTGAAAAGATTCAGTGTACACTACCATAGGTTATTCATAAGCAGTGACAGTGTCAGCTCTCTGCACAGTGTGTATGTTTGCTTTAGGCTATTGGAGTATTCTCATAATATTCTGTAGACCCGTTTATGAATTATTGACACTAGCCATTTGGCTAATGTATTTTAGTATATTATTGTTATATTCATTTTTTCAAAGATTTTTTAAATTTTCAATTCATTGAAAGAAAAAAAAATATTTTCAAAAAAAGTAACTTCACCATCTGAAAGCCAGAAACAAAAGGAACATGTTAGTTCATTTTTCTTCACCCAAGAGGCAGATTTAATTAGCTATAAAATGCACTTTTGCTTTCTTAGCTTTTTGTCAAGCAATAGAAAATGCATTTTTCCTCCTTCTCAGTCATTAAAAAAAAAAAACAAAAAACCATGCAAATACAAATGGGTATTTTTGAGTTCAAAGTTCAGCCTTCTGCTGGGAAAATACCAAAAGCTGCTACAATTTTCTTTTTAATATCAAATTATACAGCTGTTTTTTAAGCAAATTTGAGAGTTTTACACAGGTGATTTGATTTTAAGAAATATACTCATATTTTAGTAAACTATTACTACTTATTAAGAATTTCTGATAAATGGCTATTTTATTTTTATATATAGTTTAAAAATAAAAAGCATTTTATGTGTATATTTCAGTTGTTGACTGATATCTGAAATTGAATACAAATTTGTGATTGTAATGGCAGATTAGGAATTCTTAGCTTTACTTTTCTTTCTATAATCTTCATCATTCCTAGGAAATACGCATCCATACACACACACACGTATGTATGTGTGTATGCATGCATGCATACATAAAACGATGACTATTGCAAACATAACTTTGAAACAAGCCCTGAAGCTATCTCGTTTAATCACATTATTGCTTGGACCTCTCCCTATATAATGGAAAGGATGTATTTAGTAGCAGAGTACAGTGACTTTTTTGTTAGTGTAAGTATGTGTTAACTCTTGGCAGTCACTAAATTGAAGTGTTACACATGCTAGAAAAATGGAATATGAGTCCATAAAACTAAGAAATAGAGAATTTAAAATAATGATTAAAATTTTAAATTATGTAGCAAACAGAATGCAAGTTCATTTACCTTCCTGTTAAAGTGAAGCCCCCACACTGTTGTCTATCTTGATAGAGGGAAAGTTTAGATCATTTGTACCTTTTAGGGTATCTGAAAACTTAATCCTAAGCAGTGTGTGTGTGTGTGTGTGTGTGTGTGTGTGTGTGTGTGTGTCTCAATTGCAACTTTGCTTTATTCTATTTGAGACCTTTATACTACCTCCTCCCCTACCTCCTCCCCTACTGTAGAATAAACAGTTAAAATAGTAAAATAATTAGAGATACATGTCTTGATGCTTGGAAGGTCACTATGTCTTTAAATGTTAGATGCTTTGTATAGGCAGTGCTTGTGGTCAGGAAATTTTACCTACTTTCCATACTGCTACCAACTTAGTCTGTGCCTATTCTTATCTCCATATTTGTTTCCATAAGCACAGGTGGTGATGTTGGCCTTTGGCTTACAGTCCTTCCATAGTTCCTTATTTCTAGCATGATATAGTTCAAATCTTGTCTGGCCTTCGTTTTTTCTCATAATTCTTACTCTCCTGAACTTTGTATTTTCTTAAAATCAGAGGATAGTAACAGCCGTTCTTTATTGGGTACTAAAGTACTAAAAACTGCCCAAGCAGTTTGTGCTTATTTAGTGATCTATCCTGTGAAACTCATTAGAGATGCTAGTATATTCATTATAGCAAGGATAAAAAAGCACATAAAGTATCATCTGACAGGCTAGCAGGTAGCAGAGAGGGAGTTCAAACCCACAGTTCTTAACCAACGTGTTTAACCACTTCCTTCGCTCATACCTCTTTTCTTTTGTACATTGTTTCTTCCAGTGCTTAGGATTCACTTACCTCTACCATAATTCCTATCTTCAGCAGTGCTTGAGGAAATGCTATAAAAAGTATTTATGAAAGGAAATAGTCAACAAAAAAGAATATGCTTCAAGTATTCAGAATAGAGAGAATTGCATCTTCAAGAAACAGACTTCTCAGAGACTTTTGTGTGAGATAGTTATTATTGCATCTTTTTAATAATAATCTAAGGTTTATTTGTCACAGAATGTTACAATTTAAAGCCAGGTATGGTGGTGTGCACCTACAGTCCCATAGTACTTGGTGGTAGAGACAGGTGGATCAGGAATTCAAGGAATGTGTAGATAGATCTATAGTTTGAGGCCAGCTTGGGCTACGTAAAGACCCTACCTCAAACAAACCCAAACATAGAACATTATGATGTAATTTTTATTCATTTAAAAAGGCCCTCTTGTGTGAATAATAAAGATATTATCAGACTTTATCCATGGTCTGTTAACTAGGTAAGAATCTTGGCAGTGGAGTGAAAGATGGAATGAATGTTAGAAACACAGCTTGGTTAAGTTTGTGAAAGTTCATTCTACCTTTTCTTGCACCTTAGCCCATATAAACAGTTACTGGGCATGTCCTTACCCATTGTAACAATTTTAAGTATCAGAGAAGAGTTGTCATTATCTAGTATTAGCAAGAAACATCTATATATAACTACCTACGTAGTATACAAGTGTATTATTATTATT